TTGGGTCACCTCTCTTTGGAATGGGCACAAACATTGATCTCTTCCAATCAGTCGGCCAGACAGACTACAATCAATCAAACAACTGATTTGTTTTAATTTAAGGGATGATGAAAGATTGGGATTAAAAGAATTTGTTATATCACACATTTTGTAAAGACTTTCTCCTAAAAATGGTCAGTTTTTATTACCCTAACTTCATTTAAAACTGGGAACAAGGGAGGGCAGGAAAATAATGCAGAATTCTGCTTTATAGATCTTGGTAGATCTCCACAGTACTTGCTTCTTGGTTATTTGTTTCTCTAAGAAATGCTACTTCTTATAATTTGATCATTTTATATGACATTATTAAGGTGCCTTGATAGTACTGTGGGTTAGGATTTGGGCTGCTCACCACAAGACTGCTGTTGTTGTTACGTGCCATGGAGTTGGTTCCAACTCATAGCGACCCTGTACAGGGATTCCAAGGCTATAAATCTTTACAGGAGCAGAAAGCCTGATCTTTCTCCTGCGGAACACCTGGTAGTTTAGAACTGATGACCCTAAGATTAGCAGCCTGATTCGTAACCACTACGCTACCAGAGCTCCTTAAGCTATGCAGTTCAAAATCACCAGTCTCTCCACAAGAGGAAAATGAAGTTGACTGCTCCCATAAAGATTTACAGTCTTGGAAACCCTATACAGAATCACTCTAAGTTGGAAATCACTTGATAGCAGTAGATGGGTATACTGCAGTATCAGCTTCTGAAGGCGTCCTAGTGACACAGTAGTAAACCACTCAGCTGCCAAAGGAAAGCTCAGCAGTTAGAACCCACCTCAGGAAAAAGATGTGGCAGTCTACTTCCTTAAAGATTTACACCATTGGAAACCCTATGAGGCAGTTCTACTCTAGCTACAGAGTTACTATGAGTTGGAGTCAACTCAATAGCGTGAATATGGTTATCAGTGTTTGTGCTGCCAAGGCAACTATTATTTATACAGAAGCTTGCACTCACTATAAATAATTTTAAACTGTCTTCATTAGAAACGTAATAATATGTGATGAAAAAAAATACTTTTAAGTAGCCAAGGCATTGCAAGACTCATATATATAAATATTGGAAAATTGTATCTGATTCCAGAAAATGTTTTAACCAAATAGCTGAATGTTCAATTAAAAAAGAGAGAGAAAATATCCAACTCCTAAATCATTTAGACTGAAACTACATAAACAGCCAGAAAAAAATGGAATATTTTTATTTCAAAAATGAAGATAAATACTTATTTAATTCAAACTACATAAACTCTCAAACTGAGAACACGTATTTTATTATAGTATTCTGCTTGATAAAACAAGTATGTACTTCATTGTTAAACTGTGAGACTACAGAAATAAATTACCTGTACAGATTCACATGTAATCAAAGGCAGTTCTGATAATGCTGATTCAGAAGTACTCTCATTTTCATTTATGATCTCATGGTCTTGCGTAAGTTGCAATTTAAGAATTTCTGGACTTTTCTGTTCAACAGGTCCTTCTTCATCACTGGAAACAACAACTAAAAGGGAGAAATGTATTTTAAATGTGCTGCAATAATCCAACATCAAAAAGAGAACATCCTTGCATGCTCAACCTTGGAGAAAGAATAGGGCTCTGGGATACAGGGATCGAGGCATAATCTGAAGAGGGTACATAATACTACAATGCTTGACTGTCTTATGTATATTGGTTTCCCTTACCTACTATTGTAAAATAGACACTTGAGGGGGATAGAAAGGAATGTCGGGAAACTTGATTACAGAAAACATGTAAGCCCGTCTTCAGCCTATAATTGACTGGAATACCTAAAAGGGGTTCTAGAACTTGCCCAGTGAAATAGGCCTCTTGCAGAGCTTTTGCAGAGTATAGGACCTTAGGTGGAATCCTAAATCACATCCAGAACCTTCCTAGGTGGGACATTCCCACTAGCAAGGACAAGCAGAGCAATAGAAGATCCATCTTCAAAGAAAGATCATCAGGAAAAACTGAAAACAAAAATGTTAGTGTGACTGGCTACTACAGGAATAAGCAAGCTGTTCACCGGGAAGCCATCAAGGCAAACAATCAAGTCCCTTCAGTACAAACCCCACTCTAAGACTGAAACTCAAAGAGAACACATGAGCAGTCATGTAAGCTTGCTGGTGGCCACACTGGTCTACCAGTGAGTGAAAGAGGGGAAAGGCAACAATGAAGAAATGGGCTGAGTTCAACCACGTTCCACAGACTCCCAATGACCTGGAGATGAGAGAGAGAAAAGGAAGGGCTTATTGGTTCAAAGTGTGGTGAGACCTGGGGACACCTGAGCCCATGGACAAGAACATAGCCACAGAGGGCTAGAGGTAAGAATGAAGCATCCAACAGATATGCAGTGAGGGAGATGCACAAGAACACCCAAACTTGTAGATAGTACCAGTTTGACTTAGCCTCGATGGCTTGATAATCAGAACTCGACCAGAGGAAGATTTAAAAAAAAAAAAATTTTTTTTTATAAAGTAAACAAGGGTAAATTGCTACAATTTGATGAACCTGACCTATACTCATGGAGGTAGTAACTCTAAATACCAACAGAGAGGGAAGGAGTTTTCACATCAAGCATCAATGCTATTTCCTCTGTACATAGGGTAGGTAGGGGCAGGCAACTTAGGCACTGGCTAGTTAAAATGAGGAGGCAATAAAGGCATGAAGTGACTGGCTTACAAGGTTTCAAGAGGCACTTTAGTTTAAGAGTGTGTGGGGGAAGAAAGAGTCCCCACTGAATAGTTTCATCTTGTCTAGAAGGGTCTGGTTAAAAGAGATGAGGATACGAGTCTTATGATTTAACAGTGAATAACTGTTATCATGACGAATTGCAACTGTGACAATTGTAAAGGTAGAAGTTTTGTAACAGAAACAGGGGAGTAGTCGCGGGAGAAAGATGAGGCTTTCTACTCCAGTAAAGATTTACACCCTCGGAAACCCTGTACAGGGTCGCTCGCTATGGGTCGGAACTGACTCAATGGCACTTAACAACAACAACAAGTTAATCTTACAGTCCCAGAAACAAAGGACCCCAGGAACATCAAAGGAGAAGAGCACAAGTGGAATGCAGGACCTTATCCAGAGAAGCAGCAACACCAGAGATGTAGGCAGAGATGGGGACATAGAAAGGGGAGTGGCTGCAGACTCTAGATTCATGGGAAGAGAGGGACTAAGAGTTGGTGGCCAGGAGGCAGACTTGCAGCATGTGCCCTTTGGTGGTACAAATTATTATATATGCCTGACTGTTAAAAAAAAACAAAAAAAAAACAGAGCTAAATTGAATAGAAATACTGTTAGCCAATGGTACATGGAGGGGATTATAATCATTGTAATGAAACAAGTTGTATGATTTGTTGAATCTGCCCTGCAAATTTTCACTCAATCCACAATAAAAACTTAAAAAAAAAAAAGAGAGAGAGTATCCTAGTAGTTAGTGTACTTTGTATCTTTTATAATCCCATTAAAATTTAATCATAAAGGAGTAAAAATTTTTAGAAATTGGTTATTATCTGGTTTATACCAGTTATATACCATTTTCTAGTTATATACTATTTTCTCCATAGCTATTTATTAGTTTCCCAATTAGTGCTATTATTTAACAGTTAACTATATCCCTAGCTCCTTTAGAATGAAGGCTTTTCAAAATGGGTAAAGCCAAAAGACTTTAAGAACAAGTTTCAAATGTAGTATCATTCTAAACTGCCCTTTAAATCCTTGCTTTACATTACTTGCTTCCAGGGAAGGAAACAGATGGCTAGGGGAGGTATGAGATAACTCAATGAATAGCTTTAAGAATCTTTCATCTTCTCTGTACCATGTGACTGTATTGACTACTGAAAAATTAATTAGGTCAAGGCAGAATCCCCACTGAATAGTTTTCATCTTGTCTAGACAGGTCTGGTAAAAGAAGATAGAGATAAGATTCTTATGATTCAATAGTGAGTAATTGTTATTATGACTAACTGCAATTGTCACAACTGTAAATGTACAAGTTTTGTAACATAAAGGGGGTAGTAGTTAATGTTACATTCCAGAAACAGAGGACCCTAGGACCATCATGGGAGAAGAGCATGTTGGATCCTATGCAGAGAAGCAGCGACACCAGAGATGGAGGCAGTGATGAAGTCATGGAGAGCAGCTGAAGACCATAGAGAAAGACTGTGTGCCAAGAGGCAAGCTTGTAGAATGTGCCCTTTGATTGTTTAAATTATTATACATTCCTCAGTATTTTTGTGTACATCCCCCCTCCCCCCAGCAAAAACAAAACAAAACAAAAAACCAGAGAGAATAGGGGAATAGAAGCAAATACTGTTGAATGATGATGCACAGAGGGGATTGTAATCATTGCAATGAAATGATAAGTGTTTAAAAAAACCAATGTTCTACCATGTAAACTATCACTCAATTCACAATAAAAACTTAAAAAAAAAAAATTAGGTCCAGAAATTAAATCACACTTAAAACTCTCTGTATTCCAGATTCATCAACCAAAATGACAATAATGGTTCACTTCTAAAAGCAATTATAAAATACTTTTAAATCACTAATGATACTGATTACGGTGCACAAATCTAAAAAGAAAAACTTACCTTCTCTTCCAAGTACTCTATTTGTTTATCTAAATCAACTCTACAAGTCCATGAAAGAAGCCTCAAAATGTTGACTTTTTTTTTTCTAAAATTAATACATTTCACAGTGATGTCATAAGCAGCTTATTGCCTTAGCAAAATCTGTTCATGTGGAGGGAGAAAAGTCTAAGAAAAATAGAGAATATGGTCTTTATAATCTTTCTGTTACTTACTTGGTTCAGCTGAGATCAACAGTTGGTTTCCTTCACTGTTTCCACTAAGAAGTGGCTTTTCAACCGTATTAATTTCTTTCTCATCTTTTTCAAGCAAGGAAGAATTTACCACAGTGTCACTGGAAACAAAGTTCTCAAATGTTCCAGTGACTGCACAGTGAGAGGGGCTCTTTGGCGCAGCACTCGCAGCCAATTCCTGACTACTAAGTAAAGACGGTTTAGTGAAATCACTTTCTATAGGTTCAGGTGTAATTTCTTCAAGAAATTTTGGATCCTGATGATAGTTTTCGTTTAACTTTTCAAACTCAGTAGATACTGTTGAGTCATTTTCTTGTTTCTTCTGAGCCTAAATAATCATAAAGAAGAAAAAAAGAGCATTTCTCAAATGTCACTTCCTTAAAGCAATTTTTTAAGATTTAAACTTGTAAAACTAACATAAAAATTTAAATGTTACATCATTTCTAAAATTGTATAAACAGAAAACTATACAACTATACTACATTATGCTTACCAATATCTTCTCAGAATGAAACTGTGGAGTTTGGTCTGCTGACTCTTAAGCCTAAGCATTTTTTTAAGAAAGTGAGGAAAGGGAAATACCCATCTTTAACAATGGTTCAAAGAAACTACCAAAATCTAAGTCAACTTTAGAGAGGATTCTTTTTACATTTTTCAAAAGTAACAAAGCCATGTGAACTTAGTAACAGAAGCAAAAACTTTAAAACATAAGAGGATAACAATATTTACTTCAACATAATTTGTAATTATGACTGAAAGGACCTATGAGGTCCTTGTGAATTAAAGAATTGCTTCTTATTAATTTTATTTTTAATTATATAATAAACAAATACAAACAAAAAACTTTAAAGAATTTGGCAAAGTAAATTGCTCCTGATAAAAAAGTGCATGATAATAAAAACATGAAGCTAGAAGACTATTTGACCATAGTCAGCTCGTTTTTTTTCATAGCACAAATTATCTCCTATGACATGCAATTATCTCTACTTACTATATGTTCTGTTGACTTATCCAGTGAACAAGTAGAAATATGAGAATCAGATAAATTACTTATAGGCCTTTTCTTTGTCTTCCTGGAAATTAAACTGGGTTCCGTTTTTGAATCAGAATCCGTATCATCCTTGTTTCTGTTCCTCTCTTCAAGATGATCACAACCTCTACTTCCACTACTAAAATCTTAAAAAACAAAAGACACATAAATATGGCCAAAAAGTAGCCAAGAATCTCTTTTAGAGGAGTTTGAAGAAACATCATCAAAATTGCTATACTACTTCCAAAGCTCATTAAAATAGAATTCCACTGTTAAATTCTCACACTGAAACAGAATGAATGTAGATGAACACCCTATTTTAAACTGCAAACAACAGTAAACATTCATTAGGTAATAAATTTAAAGTGAATGTATTAGAGAATACATTTGGTTACTAGAGAGTAACCAAAGCAAAGCAAGTATTTATTCCTTTTGCTATAACTGCATTTGACTGCAATTCTTCTTTTTAAATCTTAATAACATTTGGAAAATGTATGTCTTAAAAAATGTTTTGATAATTCATTGGGATTTTAGAAATTATTTCTGCCTTTTAAAAATAAAAATTATAAATAATTTATGTTAATCTCAGTGGATAAGAGTCCCTGGGTGGTACAACAGTTAAACATTTCACTAATTCTAAGACTGAATATTCAAATTCACCCAGAGGCACCTTGTAAGAAAGTACTGGCAATCTATTTACAAAAGATCACAGCCACTGAAAACCCTATAAAGTACAGTTCTACTCTGAAACACATGGGTTCTTCATGAGTTGGGATCAACTCCATGGCTACTAGGATGTATATATGTGATCATTCACAAGACTATTAAATTGCTTTATAGTTTGTTTCTTCATTTTAATAATTGAGGCTCCGTCCTTTTGCACCTCTAATAAGCCACCCTATAGAGACAGAAGTGATCCAACTAAGTATCATTTTAAAAATCATTTCAGTTATTATTAAGAATACATAATAAATCAGTTAACCAATATAGGTCTTAAACAAAAACACCTTTCAAATGGGTCCACCTCAGTAACTTGTTATTTTCAACTATTCTGCTTTCTGAATCCATACCATATGGGCGCCAATTTAAAGTTAATACACAGCAAGTCACAAAGCAGCCTTTTTAAAATCATTATTACTAATATAACAATGGCTGGACTGACTTCTCTAATTGACCAAAAATTCTTTGGTTCCAAATGTCTTCCCTTCAAAATATTCTGTGCTTACTCTAGCTTGAATGACTCCTAACAACTAATAAAGATAAAGTATCTTTGTCAGTGCTCAAAAGGTGATGAAACAGACTGAGAGCAAGAGCTGCAAGGTAGTCAAAAACCTTCTAATTTTCAAAGAAAACTCTTTAGTCCCTTCCCCAAGAAAGTAAACTTCCCACAAATCATTAACATCATTATTTGAAAAACACATTAAATTTTATTCATAAAACTGTAAACTATAAAGAAAGTAAAATATAATTTCTAAATATTTACTTATCCGCACATCAGCAAACCCTAATTCATGGATAACAGGAAACCTTATATAGAACCAGACAGTGTAAACGTTAGGATTCTACCTACATAAATATATAAAATTTAACTTGCAAACATTACTAGCACATAAAATTAAAGAGGTAAGGAAATCCTATAATCAAAAGAATATTAAATACTTCCAATGTATTATTTTAGTAAAAGCAAATTCCACCAGGCAAACTTAATGTACTACAAAAGAATGGTATATTTGGGGTTTAATTCAGAATTTTCATTTATTTATGAGTTTATGATCAACAACTGCTCTTTGACACTATTATCTAAAGAAAAGGAAACATTATGAGTTTTAATGAAGTTTCAAGAGTGAATTTTCTTAAAAGACTTTATCTTTTGAAGACCTTCAGAAAAAAATAAAAGACTAACAGTGTTTCTTTGTCATGTCTTTTTCACTGCTGTGTCAATTAGGTAACACTTGAGGGCACAGATTAAAGCTTTTTATTTAACTATAGCATTAATGTGCCAGACTGAAAAGCCGGTCTGAACTGCAAGGTTGGCGGTTTAAGCTCACCAACTGCTCCTCAGAAACCCTATACAGGATTGCTATGAGTTGGAACTGACTTGATGGCACTTAACAACAACAACAACTCTGCCCAGGAAAGAAGTGGAATGTGAGGGCCATCAAATGTCCTGGTTAATATCTATGCTGAGTACACTTGTACAATTAAATATTTATTTGGTAATTAAAGATAATCATTCCTGAGAAAAGCACTGTTCCTAAGAAAATAAATGTCTTTCTTTTCATGCAGGTAGTACTTACAGAGCAATTAAAAATCTGCCTCTAAGAATCACAATGTTTTCTCTAAAGATTTCAATCATAAGAGTTCGAGCTGGTTTCTTATATACACTAAAGTTATTTCTAGTTTTCTTTAAACTTTTCAGTCTATGAAAAAAGTTACTAAAAAAATCCGTAAACAGTTGTGTCCCAATAAAAGTGCAAAGAATTCTGCATACACGATTAAAGTACCTTCTTTTCTTTGGAGTATTTATAATACTTATAATATCATTCAAAAAACAAAGTATCTTTACTTGTTTAAAGACATCATAACCCAAGAGAAACCTGAACATGTAAATTTCACAAATGAATAATGCAGTAAATAGTTTTGATTCAAATTCTGGTAAAATATTTTTTTGAAAATCCTGACAAACAGGAGGGAAAAAATGAATTATTCAATAACCCTACAGGCAAAGAGGAGCTCTGGTAGTGTATTGGTTACGAATCAGACTGCTAATCTCACGGTCAGCAGTTCGAAACTACCAGCCGTTCCGCGGAAGAAAGATGAGGCTTTCTGCTCCGGTAAAGATTTACAGCCTCTGAAACCCTATATGGGGTCATTATGAGTCAGAACCAACTCCACAGCACATAACAACAACAACAACAATACGCAAAGAGGCCTACAAAGAATTTTCACACATCTGGGATGTTTTTACCTTTAAATTTATAAAGAGTGGTTTGTTTTGACATTGTCCTAAAGTTAAGAGAAATTCTAATGGTAAAGACAGTATTAAAGACTGTATTTCACGGTAGGAAGACTGTCAGTGGGAAGCTAATAATAATCATCCAGTGAGCCGTAAAATCAATGTGTTAAGACAAACAGCACTCAAGTAGCTAAACTGATATTATAGATATACTCTCCCAACTGATAAAAAATAAGAGACAATATTCTAATTTAATTTTCATAACTGGTAAATAAATCAGGAAATGGGTACTACACAGTATGCAATTTACCAATCTTTTTGTATTACTAAATAATCTCCCTTTACTTTTTGACATCTTTTAAATAAATACAAGATGAAATAAAGTTAAATCTTTTTCATTTTAAATTACTGTAAATACATTACGCAAAAATTCAAATTCTAACAGTTTTTACAGTTCACAAACCTTTAGGCTGAGTATTAGACATTACAAGAGAAATGCCATCATCTCCTCTTTTCTGTTCTTTAGTATGTGCAGCCTGCTTTGCAGATTTGTTATTTACTGTCTTACTTGATTGTGAGCCCCTGAAAAACAGAATTATAGTATAGTCAATTCTTCTAAAGCCCAAATGAATTTAAAGGCTACTAAGTGGAACTGACTCCACGGAACACCACCACCAAGTGGCATACTGAACAAGAGAAAGATAAAATCCCCACATGGTACAGTCTATGATATGATCCTGCATCACAGACCAGTGGAAAGAATACTATACTGAGATTTAAGAAATAAGTCATCTTTTAAATACTACTACATTCCCTATGTGGCTTTGTGGGAAAAGAAGACAACCTGTTATTCAGACGGTAGGACTACATACATGTAAAATGAGTAAAAGAATAATAATATTAGTATTAAATAAGTTAAAGAAGTTTAAGAGGTAAAATTCCATGAAAAAAAGAACCATTAAAACCAAACAAATACCTATATGTAAAGCAATTATAAGTCAAAACTAATTTTGAATATAAGGGGGTTTCTAAAAGTTCATGGAAAATTCCATTATCCATTCATTCCATTTTTCCCTGAACACTTTGAAGTCTCTAGTATACTTTAATCATGGTTCATACATGGAAAGTTAAGTAAAAAATGAAGTTTGAAATATGGTAAAGGAGGAAAAAAGGCCTAAAGAAGAAATTCATTTTACAAGGCTTAATAAACCAAAAATCTGCTGACGTAATCATCAGTAACATACCAACATGAAGAGGTAAGCTAGAACAAAGGAGGTGGTCTCACACTTCCCGACCTCAAAGCATACTATACAGCTAAAAGCAATCAACAATAGTGGTACAAAACTAAGAACCCAGAAATAAATCCGTCCATCTATGGACAGCTGATTTTCAACTTTTTCTTCAATGGGGAAGGAACAATCTTCTTAACAAATGGTGCTGGCAAAACTGGATAACCACATGCAAAAAAATGAAACAAGAACCCACACCTGATATCATACACAAAAACTAATTCAAAACGGATCAATGATGTAAATGTTAAAATCAAAACTTTATAAAGTTCTTAGAAGAAAACAAGGACAAAACTATGGAACCTAGATTTTTTTTTTATTGATAGACACAAATTCAAGAGCAGACAAAAACAAAATAGATAACTGGGACCTCATAAAAGTTAAATACTTATGCTCATCAAAATATTTTATCAAAACAGAATCTACAAACTGGAAAAAAAACTTCAAGAAAGACATATATGACAAGGATCTAATCTCCAAAATATATAGTACACATCAATAACTGAAGAACAATCAGACTACCCAATTTTAAAATGGGTGGTGCTGTAGGATCAGTATTGGACTTTGAACCTCAAAGTCAACTGTTCAAACTCACCAGCTGCTCCTCAGAAACCCTATAAAGGGCCATTATGAGTCAGAATAGGAGTCCTGGTGTGGAGCTATGGGTTAATGCGCCAGACTGCAAAGCCATTTGAACTGCAAGGTCAGTGGTTCAAGCTCACCAGCTGCTCCTCGGAAACCCTATACACAGTCGCTATGGGTTGGAACTGACTCGATGGCACTTCACGACAACAACGAGTCAGAATAGACTCAACGGCAGTTAACAACAACAATCGTTCCATATTAACCACAGGTAGAGGTTAGATTTAACACATTCACAAAATGGAGGATCATCACAAAACACTGGGAATCACAGCCTAGCTAAACTGACATATATTTTGGGAAGGCACAATTCAATCCATGACACACATGAAAAAGATGTTCATGATCTTTAGCCATTGTTGTTGCTGTTAGGTGCTGTGGAGTGGGAGTCGATTCCGACTCATAGTGAACTTATACACAAAAGAATGAAACACTGCCTGGTTCTAAGCAATGCTCACATTTGTTGTTACATTTGAGCCCATTACTGATGCCACTGTGCAAATCCATCTCACTAGGCATCCTCCTCTTTTTTCCCAACCCTCCACTTTACAAAGTATAAAGTCCTCTACAGCTTCACTTAGTGTAAAAATTACATTATCTTTTCGTTCTATTTGTTCAAAAACTTTTTAATGCCCTCTTGTATGCATGTAGCTATGGATATATATGTTGGTACATGGAGGACATTCCAATCATGTAGTGAAGCAAAGTGATGGCTTGTTGAACGTAAAAATTATCTGTGTATGTGTGTGTGCATGCATGTACATTCATCTATATGTCACAGATGAATATATAAGTTATAGATACTTCTTAGACATAGCCAAAAATCTCATGGGATTGGTTTTCTGAGGTTGAAGCTTTAGTACATAATTTCATTGGACAAATCCATCAATTAGTACCACGTAGATCACCAAGTTTATGTTTTATAATCTGGTTTCGTATGTAACAGAGGGGTATTAAAAGCGAATGAGGATGTTTCCATTTCATACTCTGCCATTTACTCTCAGGAAATAGACAAGAAAAGTTAAAAAGCCAACCATTCTGGAAAACAGTATGGCGCTTCCTCCGAAAGTAGGAAATAGAAATACCTTATGATCCAGCAACTCATCTACTTGGTATTTATCCACATGAAATATGAGCCATAACACCAGTAGATATGTGCACACCAATATTCATAGCAGCACTATTTACAATAGCAAAAAGATGGAGACAGCCTAAGTGCCCATCAATTGAAGAGTGGATAAACAAACTTTGGTACAAACACACAACGGAATATGATGCTACCCTGAAGAATAACAAGGAAGCTGCAAGCCACCGCATAACATGGATGAACCTTGAGGACATTATGCTGAGTGAAATTAGTCACAAAAGGAGAAATAGTGCATAGGACCACTATTGTAAAAGGTTAAGAAAAAGTACCCACACTAAAAGGGGGAAAAAAATTATTTCTTGGTTACCGGGGAATAGCGGGTAGGGTGAGGGGAGAGAGAGGAAGGTGGAGCACAGGGTAGGAAACAGACACAGGATGGTTTGAGTGCTGAGGGGGGAGGGGGACAATACACAAGAAGGGGGAGGGAAATGGAAGAACAAGGCGGATGGAAGAACATTTAGGCAGGTTTGCATGTGCAAAGTGGGACAGAGCTAAACAGTGATGTATGCTCAACCTTGGAGCACTAGGACTCTGTGATACAGGGATTAAGGCATAGTCTGAAGAGGGGAAATAATGTTAAGATGCTTGGCTGTCTTTAGAATCTTAGTTTCCCTTGCCTACTATTGTAAAATAGACACTTGAGAGGGAGAGAAAGGAACAGCCAGAAACATCACCATAGAAAGCTTGTAAGACTGTCTTCAGCCTGTAACTGATATCAGTACCTAAAATGGGACTAAAAGTTGCCCAGTGTAGGAGGCTTCCTGCGGAGCCTTTGCATTGCATAAGATCATAGGTGGAATCCTGATCCCATCCAGAATCTTTTGAGGTGGAAAGTTTCCACTTGAAAGGCAAGCAAACCAGCCTGGAGTGGCTAGAATAACAGAAGATACTTCTTGAAAGAAAGACCACCAGGAAAATTCAAAAACAGTAACAGCAGTCCGATTAATAATTACAAGAACAAGCAAGTTGTTCAGCAGGGAGCCATCAAGGCAAGGGGTCAGTCCCCTCAGGGCAAACCCCCTTCCAAGACTGAGACTCAAGGGGAATACACAAACAGGCATGTGGTCTTACTGGTGGCCACGTTGGTCTACCAATAAGGGAAAGTAGGAGGCAAACAGCAACGAAGTTGTGACCTAAGTCTGATCACGTTCAATAGACTCCTGTCAACCTGGATTGAGACCTGGCTGGCCAGCAGTATGGTGAGACCTGGGGACTCCTGGGCCCAGGAACAGGGACATGGCCACAAAGGACAAGAGCAGAGTGTGAAGCGTCCAGCTGATATGAAGTGAGGGGAGATGCACAAGAGCACCTATACTTGCAGATAGTACCCATTTGACCTAGCTTCAATGGCTGGATGATCAGAGCTCGTCTAACGGAAGAAAGAAGAAAAAGAGAATAACCCACTACAATTTGATGAACTTGACCTATACTAATGGATGTAGTAGCTCAAAAGAGGAAACGAATCTTCACAGTGGGGATCATTCCCACCCCCTTGGTACACAGGGTTGACAGGGGTGAGCAACTTAGACACTGGCTACCCAAAATGGAGAGGGAACAAAGGCACAAAGTGACTGGCTTACAAGCTTTCAAGACAGAGCCTAGTTCTAGAGGGTGTGGGGGAAGGTAGAATTTCCACTGAGTGATTTCCAACCTGTCTGGGCAGGGCTGGTGAAAGGAGATGGAGAGAAGACTCTTCTGGTTCTATAGTGAATAATTACTATCAGGACTGACTGTGAGTGCTCAAATGTAAAGGTAGACGTTTTATAACAAAAGGAGGAGAGTGGCTGATCTTGCAGTCCAGGAGCAGAGGACCCTGGACTATCAAGGGAGAAGAGCAGAGTGTGGGACCCTATCCAGAGACGCAGTGACGCCAGAGATGGAGGCAGAGATGATGATGTGGAGAGATAGAGCATCTGGGACTCTGGACTCTGGGAGGGAGAGGGGCTGTGTGCTGACAGCTGGGGGGCAGACTTGTAGGGTGAACCCTTTAGTCATTTGAATGGTTACGTATTCCTAAGTACTTTGCTGTACTTAAAAAAAAAAAAAAAAAAATGGAATGGAAGCAAATGCTATTGAATGATAATGCATGGAAGAAATTATAATCATTGCAATGAAACAAAATACGACAGGATTTTCTCCCATATAAACTACCACTCAATTCAACAATAAAAACTTTTAAAAAAAGTTCAAAAGTTGACTATGAGTTGGAAAATTGATGCTTACAGTTTTCTGGGATTCTCTAGCACCAAAACTGAAACACTATCAGGGAAAAACATTCAATAATCAACAGTTCTTATTACAGCTAAATGCTCACTGAAGAGCTGAAGCCTAAACTTCTCACTAAACAAAGAGGACTGCAACCCAAGGGCATTGTGATCTTGCATAACAATGCATGTCCTCACACCTCTGCCCACACTATTGACACTCTTCAAAAACTTCATTTTGAGCTGCTAAAGCATCCTCCCTATAGTCCTGATCTTGTTCCACTGGACTTTCACCAGTTT